CACTTTACCAAAGGCCAGAGCACTTGGCTCATCCTTGTGCCAACTCAACTCAGACATACCGTGCAATAGAGCTAACTCCCTAGATAGGCCTTCCACCCCCAAATTTTCCACTTAAGCAAATTAATGATCAGGAAAGATGGGCCACACCCAGAAGACAGAAAACCACTTATTCAGCAAGTCAAAAATGGATATCCTGGCACTGAAACTTATAGTTGAAAGTGAAATGCATCCTACAAAGAATCCCAGATTTCAGCTGCCTGCTAACTACAGTAAATATTTCAGGGATGTCCCTAAGATGATTTTTACTGAGGACAAATAGTACCTTCTCATAAAAAGCAAAGAAGAGGCTGGCTTGATAGGGAATAGACAGTTCTTTTATCCCTCTAATGGATTTATTCCCTTATGTTCAATATTTCTCAGAAAGGATGTCACTTCCACAGAGAATTCTGCTGCTCTACATTTTAAGGACTCAAATGTTCCAGTGAAGCCCAACTTAAATTTCAGAAGCTGATAAAGAAAATGGAAAGAGAAGAAAAAAAAATGCATCTGGTGGTTTAGAATGCTAAAATCCTTCAGACTAAGACAGGGGCAACCAGAAATCCAGAAACAGACTGATCAAGCTAACTGTAATCTTGTATACCTTATGGAAGTACATGTGTTTATGCTTTGCATGCCTATCTTTTCACATGCAAAAGATGACATCTGAAATGTATGTAACTTGAGAGTTTGCCCTGTAGTCTTAACTATCCTCCCATAAACTTAACCAACAAAAATAATAATTAACATAGGTGCTTCATAATCCTTCCAAAATATTTTCTTAGTAAGAAGGTAAGTGAGGATTGTTTTACCATTCAATAGAAAAAGAAGACTGTTTAATGTGGGTGTATGCCAATATATGAAAACTATTTTAAATGAATATTTTTGCAGTGGTCTGAAGGATCATGAGCCTAAATGTTGAACGCTTGGTAGCTGCAAATTTGCTCTGAACTGAATCACTCTGCAACCCTGCACAGAACAAATAGATGGAGGAAAGAAAGTCAAGATGTAAATGACTTAAGCACATTAACACTTATAATTACGTACTGTTCAAGAAGCTGGAATGTCCCAAATGATATTTAGGACACACTTAGATGTACCCTTGCTAAAGACAGCACAAAAGGCAGCAGCACAGGCACACTGAAGCGGCATGCAAAGCCACCCGTGGCACACTCGCTGTGCCTAGGAAGGGTATGTGCCCGGAGGGTACCTTCTGCGGTCCTCAGGGGAAACTTCTTCCAGTGGCAACCAGGCCTTCTAAAGTCTTTTTTCTTAAAAGGATTTAGACAAAACCAAGCATTTTACACCTCAATTTCCACCTTACATAAAATGGAGAGAAAACCTGGCTCACCAATAAAATAATTGCAGAGTTAAAAGTTTCAGTTGTAAGAAAAACAAATTTTAGATGTTTGAGGTAATGCAACATGCATAAATAAAGTGTAGCTACCCAGCTTAAGCTAATATGAGTTTTACTCCAGCCGACACCTGGATATTTGATAATGCATGCAAATACAAGCTTTTAACATACGTCATGAGGAATTAAGTAACAACACAACCTTGAAACTGAAATTAATATTAATGCATGTGGAGGCTTTTTTAGCCAAAAAAACCCAACAATAAAAAAAGTGCTACAAATCCATAAAACACAAATTGATGTTGATTCCTAATAAATGTAAAATCTTATCCTGTGCAACACTACAGTTTGCAGAAAAAACTGGCACACGGCAATATTTAACCTTGGCCCACAAGTAAGTATCACTTCATTAGTACAAATTTGTAATTTAAGGTATCAGGGGCAGGTATAAGCTTTACAAGAACTCCCAAGTCATGCATTTCTGAGAAATATACATACATGCTTTCTTCCTCATTGTGAACATCTGCACATATACTTAACTTAGATGAAGTTTTCTTTCTAAAGCTAGTCTTGGAGCTGTCAATGCCATTTGGTAATGCCAGCACTGGTGCATTTATAACAATAGCAAAAGCTAAGATACACATTAAAGAAAAGGCCATTTTATTAACATTCTGAGCCATCATTTAGTTATCAAGTAAAATACCACATGATTTGCTCACAGAAATTAATTGATCAGAAATGAAAAATTATCAAAGTTTTATGTTCTGATTGATGTTACCTCACAAACATTCTATCACACATTTATTTAAACTAAAAAACAGATAAAACTAGGAACAAAAAATTTAAGAATATCCAGAAAACAGCAGTACTGGTGTTATTTTCAGCTAGCAACTTTTCTCCTTCTTCAATTTAGTAGGTATCAGGAGACAACTTCAAAAACATCATGCAATTTCTCTGCACAATTCTACTAATATCTAGATTTTGATCTCCTTCCCACTATAAATTCATCCCATAATTCCACAATTCTAATGCAGAAACAGCATTCAGATTTGGAACTCCTAAACCTGAAATACAATCATAGCAATTTCATTTAATTAATGCTGAGGTTGTTTGTATTTGATGTTTGAGCACCTTGGCCAATGTACTTTAGGAAAGAAAAGTAACTGACTTGCATTTGACATTGGAGTGGTCTGCACACCAATTACCACTGCAATCCATATCATTCCTAAACAAAATCAACTGAGAACAGAAAAGTGATTAACAATAGAAAAAAGCAAGAGGAGTGGCACACTAAGAATAAAAAACAGAAATACAATTTCTAAAAGGTACAAAAACATTCAGAGAGGAAGAAAATTATCTTCAAAGTACAACATTACGTATGGTTAATGTGGAAATCTGTCCTGAAAGAACTGGGGCACTAAAAGGAAATAAACCAAAACAATCTGCTATCTCATTGTATGAAAAAAACTGGAACAAAACATGCCTAAAGCATGATTTCTAGTTCACTAGCTACAACTCAGATCAAATCCTGATGCATATTGGCTATTCGTCTGAAATACCACTACTACAGTTGTGACATTATCGAAGTTTTAGTAGTACTTTCCTCCTCCTCCTCCTCCTTCTCCTATGTCCTTTCCTGCATTCAGCACACTCCCAAAAAGGATGTGGCCACCACAGTTACACTTTCAGGAAAAAAGCATGTAGTGGCATTTAGATGATGTGTTTTCTTTTCCTTTCTTTTGCATTACCAGTTGCAAACATCCTAATAAAACTAACAGTGGAATGAGTTTCGTTTCGAAGGCTGATCATTTAACACATATTCAAGCGCTCTTTACATTTTTTTAACCTTTGCAAAACATCCCCTTATAAACAGGCATTGTATTACAGCAGTATTAATGATAAAGTGCCAAAGTGGCATTTAGAACCTCATAAACAAGGGAACCTCACCAGCAAAGCCCCAAATCAAAGAAATGACTGGGAATGTATAGGGGCTTTTTTGTTTTTGTTAAACATTCATAGTAATAAATATGTGAGCATAATAATTAGTATGTTGTTTTGAACTGCAGTGGTACTGAATTTTCTGTCAAAATTTTACATCAACACCTATTTCATCTTGGGGACACTAGCTACTGGAGGATAGAAACATCACATCTGCTGCATATTACATATTAACAGTGCTGTATTACAAAGGTTTTGATCTGTTTGGAGGAAAAGGTGGAGATGGTGGGCATTTGTTCTTTTGGGAAGAGTTACTACCACATACGCAGACTAATTGGGTAAAATACAACAGTTTATGTAGTACATGAAGTACTCTCCACCTGCTAACAGGAAACAGCATCTCAACAATTTACCCACAAACACATTTTAAAAGTTAGATCCAAATTAAACTGAATACAACAACCTTTCACATCAGGTCCTAAGCAAACAGTTTCTCAGAAAACACACAATTGAAATCTTTAAAATTCAAGAAAATTGCTTAAGAAAAATAGTCTGCTTGGGTTTTTTTCCACAAAGCATTATCACAAAGAGCTCTTTCTAGCAGGTTGACACGGTTCTTCAACAAAAGTAGCAGACTTCAAAATATTCCAGAAGAGCATTTGCAGCTTAGCACCACCCCATTTTAAAGCACTCCTCACTACAGCTCTTTCATGAAAGCCCACAGTCTCAAAGGCAACAAAACACAACCCAGTAACAAACCAAAATCAAACGCAATATGCCTTTAGGACAAAAAAGCCCCCTTCTCTGGAGTGAAGCAGTCAAGTGGGAACAGTAAAAGAAGGAATGGCCAGTATAGACTCTGATCAAGGGCAATACATGCTCGTATCAAACAAGCTCATTCTGCCAACTTAATGATTCAGCTTAAACAATTGGGAATTTTCCTCCTAATTTCTGTCAGAGTAAAGTACATCTATTGAGCACATTTGAAAATTCTGCCTTTTGTAAGGTAATCTTTTGCTCTGCATACAAGAACTACCATGGAATTCAGTAGAGAGTGATACACTAAAGAAAAGATGATGGCAGTTTTGTGGAAAAAATCATGGCCTCCAAAAAAGCTAGACACAAATGACTTAATATTTTCCTTTGAACAGAATATATTTTTTTTAACATAACAAGGTAAGTACCACAATTCAAGTACTTACACTTACTTAGCAAAATGCTCTCATTTAAAGATAATTTCATTAAGTCCAAAATAAAACCATGAAAACAATCCAAAGCAGACCACAGAATGGTGTGTTTCCAACTTCCGTATAGATTGAACAAATTGATTAAGAAACAGAATCTGACCCTTTAATAAACCTGTTCAAAGCTGATCCTATTTCACAAACAGGTTTCCAGTTTTGCTTTTATAAGTTACAGATCATTAACTTTGAAACATGCCAGCGTGCAAGATTCATCATATACATTCAAATACTCATTCGTGTCTCTGACCATATGGTACAAGGTTAGCAACAGTTCTCAATAACCACAAGATGTAGGCAGGTCAGTTCTATCAGTCTTACTATAACAGCAAATACTTGTTACTAGCTTAAACTCTGTAACAGGAGTTATTTTCACTCCATCAGGTAACTCCCCATAACTCCAAAAGGAATTTGAAGCTTAAATTACTTACCTGTGAACATAATGCAACTGATGAACTGAATCAATAGCTATCACCATTTCAGCCAAATAAAAACGAGCCATATCTTCAGGTAGTCTGTCCTCAAACTTGCTAAGCAATGTAAGCAGGTCTCCTCCAACATAGTAATCCATAACCAGGTACTATGGAGTGGGAATGATAAGAAAACACAGGGGGGAAAAAACAATTTATTGAGTGAATCAGACACTAAAAACAAATTTAAGCATAAAAATTATAAAATTATTGTGGGCATTAAAAAAGCTAACCAAGATGCTTAGATGTTCTAAAAAAATGTAGCTGATTCAGCCTCATTTTAAAATTTAACCTAGCTGAATATTTTTCATATTTATTCTTCTCCAAATACAGTAAGCCTCATGCCAAACTGTATCAGCTTCATCCACTGTCTCATCACCAAACATAAAATATTTAGATACTCTGGATTCTCTTATAAAAATGATATCCTTTGACAGAATGCAAAAGGAGTAAAGGATTAAAGTACAGACCTATAAAAACAAAACCAACTGTGTTAACTTGGGATCTCATTTAATAGCCCTAATTTCCCAGGCTTCCCTTTTTCTTTTTTCCTACCATCATCTTTTCCCATTTTGGGAAACTCTTTAGACTACTCAGATTAAGGCAAAAGTTAAGAGACTTCCAATGGCTGACAGTACAATTCCAGGTATTGTTGGCATTGCATACCATACAGGATCTGTCAACGTACAGTGGAAGGTGTCACCTTCTCTAACTGAGCTGATAGGCAAAAATACACTTGATTTCTGATTTATTAATGAAACATAAAACCTGCCTGCCATTGAATCGGATGTGAAGACTTGAAAGAGATCAGAACTTTTATCCATTTTACTGTATTATGGCAGAACAAAATGCCACTTCCTTTAGAGACACGGTCAAAATGACTGGACAAAGCAAACTCATCATTAATACCTTTTTATCTTAGTTTAGTTTGTTTTAATTGTGGAAGAGCAACTAGAAGGGCAAATAGGGAAAAGAAAAAATCAAACTAATTATAACTAACTAATTATAAGCAATCTAATTTAACACCTGCTGCTATAACATTACTTTCAAACATCATTGTGGACAGACTAATTAGAATAGTTTCCTATTAAAGTATATAGTAACTGAAAGCTTTTGCCTAGAGTTCCAACCTCTGCTTCCAGGAAGGCAGCATATATCCATATTTGAAGCAGTGACTCTTAACAATAGTGCATAATGAATCACAAGTAATAAAAAAAATTAAAGATGCAATAACATATATCCCAAATTTATTCTTTAAAATTTGGGTAAACCAATTTAAAGTGACTTTTTATAAATAGTTCTCCTCATTTGTTCTTTCTGTTGTCTGTCTCACCTTCAGAAAAAGAAATTAAAACACGTGGAAAAAATCTGCAAAATTATACCAGCTATAAGGAAGATGTGGGACAGGCAGAAATCTTATGCCTGTTTCTTTTCCCTCATACTTTCCATAATAACAAAAGTGATGAACTAAGATTTTAACAATTTGATACAGAATAACCTGGGCATCTTCACTGATTCCAAGTGCATGAAGAAAGCACATAATGGGTTTCCACAAAATTTTAAATGTGCTGACAATCAAAATCTCATCTGTCGCTTTGTGACATGAATAGTAAACTTCTTAAATTATCCTCATGAGCCTTACACAAGATAAGTATCTTCTATTCAGTGGTGCTCCTACGCTCCCTGTGAAACAAGATCTACAGTATTAGATTCTCATGTTTTACAGTTTTAGAAAATACATTAAGCCTTTGGAACTTAATATAATTATTATTAACTGATACACTATACAGTGAGATCTGCAAGAGCTTAACTCATTGCTTTGAATGTATATTGAGAAAAACTTCTTAAGATTCTCATAATTGATGTGGGATCTCTGCACTCTTTCTTCAGCATTTTTAAAATCAGTACAACTTAGTAACTGGATATACCAAAATAAAGGCATTTTGACTCTTACAATACAGGATGCTGCACTTCCCATTTTGCAAGAGCAACACAGTGGCCTAATCAGAAGGAAACCCTCAACTCCTCGAATATGCCAACATTTAAACTGTAACTCACAGTATTAAGTTGTGCACTTGAGGTTAAACACATGTATAGGAATCAGAGCTAAGTTTTCAACTTATTTTTTAACAAAATAATTCAGTCAATGTATAGCATCCCATATAATGTCAAAATCCATGTCCTTAAAAAAAGCTGGTTTTCGAAAAAGCTTTAAAAATACTTTCTAAATGCACACAACCATCCAGTTCTATTCAAGTCTGAAATGCTTCTAAAAATACTACTGTATGATAGCATCATCCTTCTAAGAGAAAGAAAAAGCACAGGTTTAAGGACATTAAATTCTAGTAACTAGTGGAAGTTTAACATGGACATTTAATCCTAAATCACAGACTCGTTTAGGTCAGAAGAGAGATTTTGAGATCATCTACTCCAACCTCATCTGCTCTAGTAGGGTCAGCTAGAGCAGGCTGATGAAGACTGTGCCCATCTGGGTTTTGAGTATCTCTAAGGATGGAGACTCCACAATTTCTCCAGGTAGCATGTTCCAGTGTTTGATCACTCTCACAGTAAAAAAGTGGTTTCTTGTGTTCAGATGAAATTCCATGTGTTTCAGCTTGTGTCCACTGTCTCCTGTCCTGTCACCAGACACTACTGAGAGGAATCTGGCTCCCTTGCCTTTACTCCCTCCCATCAGGTATTTATACACATTGAGGATAAGCGCACCAATGCTTCACTGATCTGGGCTGAAGAATTCCAGCGCTCTCAGCCTCTCCTTACATGAAAGATGCTCCAGTACCTTAATCATCTTTCTGGCCTTGAACTGGACTTGTGCCAGTAGCTCTCTCTTCTGCACTGGGGAGCCCAATGACATGATACTTCAGGTG